AAAGCATACTCAACTGACACAACCCTGTCTAATATTTTGCTGCAAAATTATAAAGCCAATACAGTATTTTAGAGAGTAAAAGAAATTAAATATGGCGATTGAAAGGAGCAACAACCTTGTGGGAAACCCAAAACTCTGCTAACCTCATGTGTGTACACTCAAGGGCTTTGGTTGCCTCCTCCTGCGTCTCAAATTGTACAAATGAAAAGTTCCTTCTTATGCGAACATTGAGGACCTTCCCATAAGGTTCAAAATGTCTTTCAATATCACGAACTCTAGTATGAATAGGGTCGAAATTGATCACAAACAAGGTTTTGGTTGGCCTCTGATTTGCCATCGACTTGGATCCATCACGATGACGACCCCTTTCACCCTAACCCAACCAAACAAAAAGCTAAAGTTAAAATCACCTATTGGTTGGCATATATGAAAAGAAAGAGATATTTTCAAAGCATGAAATAAACCAGCTTTCTAAAATGTATAGACCCAAGAAAGGGGGCAACAACGATGGGAGAAAGGCCTACCCTAGCCCATTCCACAGACAATCTGCGTCTATCATGACCAAATGGCATGTTATCAAGGCCACGAATAGCATCATCAGCATCCCTCTCATCTTCAAAGTAAACAAAAGCAAAACCTGCAAAATAGAACAATTAGATATATAAAATATGGCAAGATATTGAAGCATTATCTATTTAGCAGGTATTGTCACTCAGCCTCATGATTTCTTTCCCTGGGATAAACTATAAAAAGTACAACACCTGAAAATATGGGAGGACTGATGCACATTTAGCTGTAGAGACGTTGCATGATGAAATAAGATGGTTGCATACTAAAGGTTTTAATCCAAAATTTCAACCATGCTTCGCCTTTCACACAGCACGAGTTCAGAAATGGAAGGCATGGCAAGACAGATTCATTCAGCCACTATTATCAAATGGAAGGCATGACCAGAATTCAGTGATGTCCTATGATCAGAGGTGATAGGTAGGCAAGGCATGAGATATAGAACATCCATTAAGACGATTCTGGTGAATTGTGACTTAATTGATGAGGCATGAGATAAAGATCAATCCATTAAGACGATTCTGGTGTATTGCAACTTAAGTGAAGAGGTAGATGAATGACGAATGATTGATTGAAGAAAAATCAGGATGATGATATCTTTAGATGAAGCTAAGCAGGCAAGCAGGAAGTTTCCTTCCAAATTAATTTTTATGCACAGATGGTGGTGAGCCCAGATAGGAGCTTGGTTCATTTTCCTTAGTAGAAATTCCTGCGTCAAAAGAAACATCTTATATGGAGGCTTTCCCCATAAAAATAGTAAATTTTTGCCTTCCATCAAGTTTTCATCAGAAAAAATGGACCAGCGGATATTACCATAGCATAATAGCTATGCATCCATGTCACTGAACAGGGTTTTAGAATTTAAAAAAAAACATCAATTTTTTGTCTTCTTGATAAAACCTTGACACAACTTTTTTACCTAGTATTAGCGTCAGTGGAGCACCCTCGCACTGAAATACCAAGTATTAGCACCAGTGGAACATCCTCGCACTAAAATACCATAATTTCATACACCAGAAAACCCAAGATGTCTAAAATCATTAACTGAACGATGACCACGTAGGATTAAGGATGTCGGGGAAGGTGGGTAAGAGACAAGAAAATTCCAAAAGACAAATATAAAATTTTAAACTTAAATATAGAGTAGTTAAGATGATTACAAACAATGAAAGCGAAACTAAAAGCCCATAAGTAACAAGAAAAAGATCAGCAACTAGAAAGTTTAAACAAGGAAATAACATTTGACAATACTTTGTAAAACCCAAAACAATAAAGTCATCCATGAATGCATACATATATGCAGGTCCTTGTGAGCATACCAAGATCGACACACTACAAAAGGAAGGTGGTTCACTGGGAATATTGCAGCATTTCATTAAAATATACCCCGTAATCCAAATGCAACATCCAATACGCATATCCTAAATCAAGTTGAACACGGTCTTTTCCATACATCTATTACCTTCGCATGTCAAAACTAGGTAAGGAAATTTACAGTTTCACAATAAACAAAAACAAAAAATTTAAGCACCACAGTTCCCTCATAGCACCTTAGAAATAGAAATATTCAACTTGATTTAGTGAGTTCTTATGTATGTACGTAGTCTAAATAGAAATATCCCACATGAGCACTAAGTTTGAAGTTGACCACAAAAAGGATCCTTCGAACAATAAAAAAAAAAAAAAAACTGGAGAAGTAATGACCAACATTAAAACATCTTCGTTAAAAACGGCACTGCATGGTATTACAAAGAAATTGCAGTATACCAGATTTCATGTCGATCCTATCGACCCTCCCATATTTGGCGAATGCCCGCTCCAGCTCAGATTGCCGGGTGTCATACCCAAAGTTCCCAACAAATATCGGCTTCATCGTTGATATTATCAAAAGCGCTGTAGAAAACAAAGCCAACAAGTCCCTAGATTAACAAAATGACAAGACCATAAAAAGAAACTAGTAAACAACTTCACCAACATAGTGATATCTATTCTTTTCCAGTAAAACTAGAAGAGATCAATGGGATAAGAGAGGATAAAGGAATGCGTTGACGAAGAACTCACTTTCAGAGTTTGACCAGAAACAAGAAGTAAATCGATCAAGTAGCGAATGAAAAATGCTTAGAATAGCATGGATCATATGATTACAGAAACAAACCTGGCAGATTCTTGGACTCGAACACAAGAAAAACCCTAGGAGAGAGGAAGAGAAAGCCTGTATCTTTTGAAGAGCCCTTATGTGATACAATTTTTAGTTCATTTTAAATACCAGAAGAAAGCCCTAGTATTTTCACTGTAGATAATTTCAGACCGTCCGATTATCCGGCTTTTTATTCAAGACTTTCATCAACGGAGATTGAACCGTTAGACTGTTCAAAAGGGTCTTTTAGGGATTAAAATTTTGAGAAATGATAAAATCGATTCAACCTCAAGAGGAACAAGGACCAATTATGAGTTCATTCAGTGAAGCCGTGTGTGAATATACTATTTTACCCTCTATGGATTGAATCACACCCCATTTTGTTTCTATTATTAGTTTAATTTTTTTTTATTGAAAATAATAAAATAAAATATTAATTTTGATTTCTAAAAAAAACTATCTTAATCCTACCATATGAAATTGAAGAATTAAAAACACTAACATCATACTATAAAGTAACATCTATTAAAGTTTTAAAAAAACTTTTAAGGCTTATTTACATAATGATACGATATGCATAATAGTAAAGTATAAAAGTTAGAACTCTTAAAATGCTTCATCGATGGAAGACCAAAGGTCTTCAATTTAATGATATATAAAGTCATGACTGTTATCTTTATAAAATATATTTGAAAAATGTAATAAAACTAAGTATTTGTATATTCTTTTAGCCATATTTAGTTTAGATTGCAGGGTTAAATCATTTAAGTTTGACATGATCGAATTAATTTGGGGAGGGATTCGAATCTCAATCAAATATTTTTGATTTATCAAAATCATTAGCATGTTTCGAATGACGAGAATCTAGTAGATTAAACAAGCAAGGAGCTATTGGAAGCAATTGGAAACTTACTCTCCATTGGTTCAAAGAGTTGTCGACCTTTTGCAACCATGCTCCTATGACTGCAGCCCAAGATAAGCCGCACAAATGTCACATCATCAAGTCTCATTCTTCGAACTTGGTACATGACCGATTCGATAATACTAGTAGTCATTAAGAACTTGTATAAAAGATGATAACTACAACAATTAGAATATGCAGGAGTTTAACATGGTATCAAAATTATCACATCAGAACATATTAGCTTCAACAATTAGAATATGCAGTAGTTTAAAGCACATACCATCTTAGCAAACCCATTATACCAATTGCAGGCCACGAAACCACCCATGTCATAGGCATTCTGTCAAACAATTCTAATGTAGCCCCCCCATGATGCCGGACCTTGCATAACCAGCAATCATCGAATTCCAAGTGGGTATATCTGGAAGCGGCATTTCATCAAACAGGTGGCGTGCAGACCTCAACATTCCCAATTTCGCACACACGTCAAACAACGCCGCCGGAGCAAATACATCAGAGGCCAATCCTGACTTAAGAAATGGGAATGGAGCAATTGTGCAGCCTAAGGAAATGAAATTGTAATCGTGGTGAAGAAATAATCTTGAGTTTGTTTATAATGAAGGAATACTAGTTTAAAATAAATAGATGAAGTTCATGTACTAGTTAATCGAATTTCATAAAATATGGTTTAAAACATCATTTTTGGATTTTATATTATTAAATTTTCAATGAATTTAAAAATCTAAATTATAGACTTAGTTAAATTATATGTTTAGTTACTAATATTAAAATTTTTACGTTCGTGTTTTTGTATTTCATTTACTTATTTGTTTTTCTAAAACATGTTTCTATATCCCAACTATTTGCAGAAATTAAATGATTTGTCATTGAATATCAAAATAATTTATAAATTTATATTTAAATTTTCATAACACCAAATAAGTATTTAAATAGCTAAGCTTTTCATGAGCGTTTGTAGCTTAGTGAATAGAGTATTTGTTTTCTTAGCAAAAAGTTGTAGGTTCGACACCTACTTGGATTGTGATCTTCAATTTATTGATTTTTCAATGAGCACTTGTAGCTTAGTGATAGAGCATCTGTTTTTGAAAGTTCAAACCCTACACTTTTGTCTTGATTTTATGGATTATCATATCAATCTTCCCTCCCAATTATTCTCTCATTTAGTTAATGTTTTAAATTTGTTTTGATCTTATTTATTTTTTGAAATAAAATTAAGCGGGTGTATTTGTAGCAATGATCTAGAACTTTATTCTAGGACATTGAATAATTTTACGCAACAATGATTCATTCCACGCTAGTCTAATTAGCTATCATCCTAATGCACCATAAATTTCCACATATAACGCTACATTAATGATTGCAAAAGAAAGATCCGGAGATTCAAAACAAACACAGAGTGCCAGTTGAAAATATATTTACATAATGTGTTCCACAAAAACTTGTTTTTCTCGATCTACTTCTCGTATCATATGTGAAGTTACAGAGGAAAAGGGCTAAAATAATGTTGGTTGAAAGAGGAGGGGAACTGTTCTGATATTCATTTGTGAGGTAGGGAAATCTTGCTTGGTGGGGGTTGGGGTGGGGGTCGAGATTACCTAAAATTCGAAAACCACGACAATTTCCAGTTCCAGCACAAATTTCTGCAAATTAAAAACAACCCCATTAAATTGCTTCCCACCATTTTTGTTTAGGAGAAGGCAAACATTGAGTGGCTGAAGAATGCGATCAAAAGAGAAGAAGAAGAAGAGAAGAAAATGGGCTGAGTGTAGAAGCTTGAAGAAGAAGAAATGTAATCAAAATGATAAGTGAATTGAACACATACTCAAAGCTTCTGTAGCCAGATTACCTTCCTCTACACCATTAATCCGCCATTGATGAAGCTTCTAACCTTCACTTTCATAGCCCCACTAAGCCTCTGCACATTCTTCGCAATCCCAAACAGCTCCTCTTCCTGCATCTTCCTGTTGGAAGACACCAAAACCACTTCAGTTCCACAAAGCTCATCATAAATCCTCTCGAATTCGCTCAACACCTCATTCAGAATCCCCAATCTCTTTTTCTCAATCAACATCTTCGTCAACTTTACCACCTGTTTCTCAAACCCTCCCTTCGCCGCAATTTCCCTCACCAATCGCCCTTTCTCCTCCTCCCCTACAAACGGATCGTTCAAAAACCCCCCGATTCGCTTCGTTCTCAGAACCTTCGAGAATCTCCCAACGTCCTTCGCCACCGAGTGAATCGATCCGGTAGTTTGCGATGCATCGACGAGTGCCGCGGCGTATCCAGCAGCAGGACGACGGTGAAGTAACGGCGAAGAGGAGCGGCGCGGGGAGGAAGAGGAGAAGGAAGAAGAAAACGGAAGCGGATTTAGGGTTTTGTGAGTAGAGAGAAAATTAGGGGGTTTGGAGATTGAGTTGGATCTGCGAGAAGGAGAGCGATGAGGAAGATGAGCAGAGTGATTCTTGAGGTGAAGAAGGTCGCGAGATGAAGCTAAAGTGGATGGAACTCTGAGAGTTGAAACAGAGCTTGTTAGAGTATCCATGGAAGACGAACAGAGAGAGAGAGGGAAGTAGCGTTAATCGGAGGAAGATGAGTGCCGGCTAGGGTTTACGTGGAGATTCATCGCCATGGAGATAAGGCAGTGATTCTACGCCATGGATTCAACCACTGGGCGCTTCGATGAAGTCGAAATTTGGGGATGATTCTGCTGATGACGAATTGTTCTTTGTCCTGTTCATGAATTCATACTCTGCCCTATCCTCTTAAACCTCTACCTTTATCAGATTTCTTAATAATATTTTTTAATTTTCAAAATAAAATTTAAAAAATATTTTTTTTATTATTATTATTTTAGACCGAAATTATTAGTATTTTTTTTTTTAAATAATCTTGAATTTTCCCAACAATTAAAAAATACATTTGAATTTTTAAGATTTCAATTTACCTCCCACTTATAGTTCAAAAAAAATATATATTTAAATAATACCTTTAATTTAAAAATAAAATAAAAATAATATTGAACTTTGAGACGTTTTATTAATACTTTTAAATTTTAAAAAATTAAAAATATTATTGTCGTTAGTATAGTGTATGATACAATAAAATAAAATTAAATAAATATATATATATATATATATTTCTATTTTATATTTAATATATCTGATGTATTAAATAATAATTTAAATATTTTTTTATCGTTAATATATCAAATATGTTAAATATTGATTTAAACATTTCAAACTTTCCCTTAAAATAAATTTAACTAATAGTATTACCACTCCTAACGAACTTTATGAACTTACATATTATAAGTTCTATTAATGGTATGTCATTCGACTATAGATCTGAGTTGCACTGTTATATACTATATGTCTCTTTATATCTATAAATATAACTGTTTCACTAAATTTAATCATTCACCGACCGTTCCTAATTATAGCTAAATCAAAAGTTTGTTTTACGTGTGTAATTAGGTAAATACTAATCTTTTAATAAAAAATGGAATGACTTAGGAAAGCAGTGCATAGGTGAGTTTCATTTTTTTTTTAATGTGATTTCATTGTGGTTCCTATTTTTTTTATTTATTGTAAAGAATATTGGAGAATTTTGGAAGAAATAGAAATGAATTAGGAACGATTTTGGTATAAAAAGTGATCACTAAGAAGTTCAATTTAGTTCGTTCGATTATTGCTTATAATGATAGGTATGACACGAATCATTATCACTCTTGTAATTCAAAAAAAAATTAAAATAAAATAATTAATACGAGAGAAAGAACTCTATCTTGAAATTCCAATCTGCACGTGTTCCAATCTATCTTTGTAGAACTCTACTCAAATAAAATCCCAAAAATGCTTTAAAACATATATTCAGGCGTACAAGGAATTAAAAATAAAATATTGTTGAATTAATTTTTAGTCCAATACAAAATTTTATTAATTCATCATTCCATGAATGTATGACATATCCATNTACCTCCCACTTATAGTTCAAAAAAAATATATATTTAAATAATACCTTTAATTTAAAAATAAAATAAAATTAATATTGAACTTTGAGACGTTTTATTAATACTTTTAAATTTTAAAAAATTAAAAATATTATTGTGCGTTAGTATAGTGTATGATACAATATTTATATATATATATATATAGATATAGATATATTTCTATTTTATATTTAATATATCTGATGTATTAAATAATAATTTAAATATTTTTTTATCGTTAATATATCAAATATGTTAAATATTGATTTAAACATTTCAAACTTTCCCTTAAAATAAATTTAACTAATAGTATTACCACTCTTAATGAAATTTATGAACTTACATATTATAAGTTCTATTAATGGTATGTCATTTGACTATAGATCTGAGTTGCACTGTTATGTAGTATATATCTCTTTATATCTATAAATATAACTGTTTCACTAAATTTAATCATTCACCGACAGTTCCTAATTATAGCTAAATCAAAAGTTTGTTTTACGTATGTAATTATGTAAATACTAATCTTTTAATAAAAAATGGAATGGCTTAAGAAAGTCGTGCATAGGTGAGTTTCATTTTTTTTAATATGATTTCATTATTGTTCCTATTTTTTTTTTATATTTATTGTAAAGAATATTGGAGAATTTTGGAAGAAATAGAAATAAGTTAGGAACGATTTTAGTATAAAAAGTGATTACTAACGAATTCAATTTAGTTCGTTCGATTATTGCTTATAATGATAGGTATGACACGAATCATTATCACTCTTATAATTCAAAAAAAAATTAAAATAAAATAATTAATACGAGAGAAAGAATTCTATCTTGAAATTCCAATCTGCACGTGTTCCAACCATCTTTGTAGAAGTCTACTCAAATAAAATCCCAAAAATGCTTTAAAACATATATTCAGGCGTAGAAGAAATTAAAAATAAAATATTGTTGGAATTAATTTTTAGTCCAATACAAAATTTTATTAATTCATCATTCCATGAATGTATGACATATCCATAAAATTTGGAGTTTGACGGAGGGTTGTTCTTCGCAAATGAAAAATAGTTTATAAAAACCATGAGTTGACGGCAGTAGATCTGCCGCTGCGATCGTCATTTATAGCGAGAGGGTCCTGATGGTCCACCGGTCCCCTGGTTTTCAGCCCCAGTCCGATCCCTGTCATAGCGCTCTTCTCAGTTCCCTTCAAATCCACCGGCACCCATTTCAACACTCCAAAACTTCTTGACGATTCTTCCAAATTCCGAGGAAGACGATGGAACCCAGAGTCTCGACCCCCAGACAGAAGAAGGTCGATCTTCAATCAATTCTAAGAAAATCATGGTACCATTTACGGCTTTCAGTGAGGCACCCCTCGAGAGTTCCCACTTGGGATGCGATTGTTCTAACCGCTGCTAGCCCCGAACAAGCTCGGCTTTACGAATGGCAGCTCAATCGGGCTAAGCGTATTGGGCGAATTTCCCCCTCGACAATCACCCTTGCCGTGCCGGACCCCAATGGCCAGCGGATTGGCTCTGGAGCTGCTACTCTTAATGCTATTCACGCCCTTGCTAGACATTATCAGAAGCTCGGCCTTGTTCCTAGTATTGAGGTAATGTTCATTTCACCTCATTTGATACCTCGTGCTTGAGCCTAGGCGTTGCTATGATCGTTATTCATCCTTATTTCTTGTTTCCCCTGCATAAGTGACACGATATTGGATTAAGGAATGCTGCTATTCTAGATCTGTTGATTAGCGTGATTTTGTTGTTGGGTTTTTTCAATCATGTAATAGGTGGAGACTATGAGTAATGGGTGTAAGTCGCCAAATAATGACAATGAAGTATCTCTCTCACAACTTGCTAGCTTCATATCCAAAAAACATATACTATTGCTTCATGCTGGTGGTGACTCGAAAAGAGTACCGTGGGCAAATCCCATGGGGAAAGTGTTCTTGCCGCTACCTTATTTAGCAGCTGATGATCCTGATGGCCCTGTTCCTCTGCTCTTTGACCATATTCTTGCCATTGCTTCATGTGCAAGACAGGCTTTTAAAAATGAAGGTTGTCTTCTCTTCTCTTTCCAGCTCTTTTTAGTTTCATGATTGTTTGCTCTGCTATAATTTTCTAGATATTCCCTTGGTGTTCTTCTTACCTTGGAGTTTTGAACATTTATTGAATACTTTCAATGTGCATTTAAGTTTCCATAGAGAAGGGAGACAAATGGTTCAAGTTTCTACTTAGAGACATTGTTCTAATTAGTAGAAATAAAAATAAAGAACATACATAGCATCTTATTTGGAGTTTCATTATTATTATATAATGATGCTCAATTACTGATTTTCTTCCTTTCATTTCTTGTTCGATGGGGGCGATTGGCTGAGGTCATTACAGGCGGCATACTTACGATGACTGGTGATGTTCTACCTTGTTTTAACGCATCCACTTTGGTTCTTCCAGAGGATGCCTCTTGCATAATCACTGTTCCTATCACCCTTGATATTGCTTCCAACCATGGTGTTATTGTGGCATCTAAAATTGGGACATCTGACAGTGGTTACACTCTCAGTCTAGTCGACAATCTCTTGCAGAAACCGAGTGTTGATGAACTCACCAAGAATAATGCAGTTCTAAGTGATGGTAGAACGCTTCTCGACACTGGAATAATAGCAGTTAGAGGTAAAGGATGGGTTGAGCTAGCTTTGCTTGCATGTTCATGCCAACCTATGGTTTCAGAGCTTCTGAAGTGTGGGAAGGAGGCAAGCTACTAATATTCAGTTTTTAAATTTTAACATTGCACAAGAAACAAAGCAGTAGAAGTAATAGGAGTACATTCACATCTCTCTATTAAGGATTAGATCATATGCCAATCAACACTAATACGAAAGAGTGAAGTTGTCTGTTTTTATTTATTCTGTGAAAAATTTCATTTTTTGTTTCTTTTTCCTTGGATTGCAAGTGGAAATTGTTTTCACACATTTCTGATTCTTGTGTTGGTAAGGTGGTCGCAACGTCCTCGCCTCTTCCCTTCCTAATTTGTCGGAAATGAAGATCTCAATGTTTCTTAGTACTTTAAGCAACGGTATGCTTTATGTATCAAATAAATGTTTGTGTGTATGTGTAGATTAGTTTATATGAAGATCTGGTAGCTGCTTGGGTTCCTGCCAAACACGCATGGTTGCAGCCACGTCCTATGGGTGAAGAATTGATTCGTAGGCTGGGAAGGCATAAGATGTTCAGCTATTGTGCCTGTATGTCAAACATCTTTGCAACTGAAGTTTATTATATCCTCTTGCATTATAATTTTCGTAGTTAAAGTTATTCTTGTATGACTTCTTAAATTGCAGATGACTTGTTGTTCTTACACTTCGGCACCTCGAGTGAAGTTTTGGATCATTTAAGTGGGGAAAAATCAGAACTTATTGGACGACGACACTTGTGTTCTATCCCAGCTACTACAGCATCTGATATTGCAGCCTCTGTTGTTATCCTTTCCAGTAAAATTGGGCCTGAAGTCTCAGTTGGAGAAGACTCTCTCATTTATGATTCTTCCATTTCTGCTGGAGTACAGATTGGTTCTCAATGTATAGTTGTTAGTGTTAACATCTCAGGAATTAGCAATCAGTTACCAGGAGATGCATTTAGGTTTATGCTTCCCGATCGTCATTGTCTTTGGGAGGTTCCATTAGGAGGCTACACCGAAAGAGTCATAGTATATTGTGGACTTCATGATAACCCGAAAATGTCGGTCTCTAAGGGCGGGACATTTTGTGGGAAGCCTTGGAAGAAGGTTTTGCAAGATTTAGGCATTGAAGAAAGTGATCTATGGGCAACAGCAGGAACTCAGGAGAAGTGCTTATGGAATGCTAGAATATTTCCAGTTCTTTCCTACTTTGAGATGCTTACCTTGGCTGTGTGGCTGATGGGCTTGAGTTACAAAAAAACAGAGCACTTGCTTCGGTTATGGAAAAGTTCTCATCGAGTAAGTCTGGAAGAATTACACAAGTCGATCAATTTTCTTAAAATGTGTACAGGATCTAGTAATCACCAAGCAGAACTTGCTGCTGGAATTGCTAAGGCTTGTATTGACTTCGGCATGCTTGGACGTAATTTGTCCCAACTATGCGAAGAAATAAAACAGAAAGAACTTTTGGGATTAGAAACTTGCAAGGGTTTTCTAGATAAGTGTGCTGAATTTCATGACCAGAACATTAAAGTTGTTCCGAAGAGCCGAGTGCACCAGGTGCAAGTCGATCTCCTTAGAGCATGCAGTGAGGAGAGAGCAGCACAAGAGTTGGAACGGGAAGTTTGGGCTGCAGTTGCTGATGAAACTGCTTCAGCTGTAAGATATGGCTTTAAAGGTAGAAAACATGGTGTTCGTCACCGTTTGAAAGAACCAAAGCGTTTTTTTTTTTTTTTTCTGCCATTAATATTTGTCCGTTACTCGATCGTTTATCTTGTCAAAATAGTTGCTGATCTGAACTTTATTCTATTTTATTTCCTAATGTATAACCACCTTTTTTTCATCTTTAGAAGATCTCTTGGACAAGCCTGACACTGATAGACTGGGACATGGAAATAGCCTCTCTGATAATAGCATAAACCAATTAATCCACCATAAAAAGGTAACTGTTGACTTACCTGTACGTGTGGATTTTGTTGGTGGTTGGAGTGACACTCCTCCATGGAGCTTAGAGCGTCCAGGTTGTGTGTTGAACATGGCGATTAATTTGGAAGGTTTACTTCCTGTTGGGACCTGTATAGAAACAACTAAAACTTCTGGAGTTCAGTTCAATGATGATGCTGGAAACGAGTTACATATCAAAGACCTTAACTCGATTACCACTCCTTTTGATAGTGATGATCCATTCCGGCTCGTCAAATCTGCATTGCTTGTGACTGGCATTATTCACGATCATATTCTAACAGTTTTTGGTTTGAAAATCAAGACTTGGGCCAATGTGCCTCGTGGTAGCGGTCTGGGAACGTCCAGCATCTTAGCTGCTGCTGTGGTAAAAGGTCTTCTTCAGATAAGTGATGGTGATGAAAGCAATGAAAATGTTGCCAGACTTGTATTGGTACTAGAGCAGCTTATGGGGACTGGAGGTGGCTGGCAGGATCAAATAGGAGGTTTGTATCCTGGCATCAAGTTTACCACAAGTTTTCCTGGAATCCCATTACGTCTTCAAGTTATCCCCTTGTTATCAACACCTCATTTGGTCTCCGAGTTGCAGAATCGATTGCTTGTGGTATTTACTGGTCAAGTAAGCTTCCTAAACTTCCTCACTTCCCCAAATCGACCTTTGTTGTCGAGTTTCGAAACTACAAGCTTCTTTTAATATAAATGAACGTTTGAAAGTGTAATATGTGTGAAGATTTCTCTGAGATTGATATCAGTCTTACTTCTTGGATACTAGAAGTCGTTTTTTTTTTTCGTTGTGATATCACTTTGCTTGTTTCTCATTCAGAATGAACTGTAAACTCGACTTCTTCACTTTTAGATTATTCTGTGTTGAGGATTGTTGGGAGGGAGTTTAGAGTGGCTAATTTAGGAATGATCATGAGTTTATAAGTAAGGAATACATCTCCATTGGTATGAGGCATTTTAGGAAAGTCCAAAGCAAAACCATGAGAGCTTGTACTCAAAGTGGATAATATCATACCATGATAGAGGTTCGTAATTTCTAACATGGTATCAGAGTCATGCTCTAAACTTAGTCATGTCAACAAGATCCTCAAATGCTGAACAAAGAATTTTGAGCCTCGAAGGTGTAGTAAAAAAGTGATTCTAGTGTCAAACAAAGGGGGTACTTTGTTTGAAGACTCCAGAGAAGGAATCGAGCCTCGATTAAGGGGAGGTTGTTCGAGGGCTCTATATGCCTCGGGGGAGTTTCGAGGGTGTATTTTATTCGAGGGGAGAATTGTTGAGAATTGTTGAGAATTGTTGGAAGGGAGTTTCACACAGGCTAATTTAGGGAATTATGGGTTTATAAGTAAGGAATACATCTCGATTGGTATGAGGCCTTTGGAAAAGCCCAAAGTAAAGCCATGAGAGGTTAGGTCAAAGTGAACAATATCATACCATTGTAGAGATCCATGATTCCTAACATCTTGATGCTAATGGTTTACTCTGTTGGGTCACTCCGATTTATATTATGCAATATCTTTTCTTAGTTCAAGTGGAGATTCAAATCTGAACTTTTGACCAAAACATATGCTTCAACCATCTTACAATCTAATATCTTATTTTGTAACTCTGTTGTTCTGGGCTTATATGGTTTAGCTGATATGCAGGTCCGACTTGCACATCAAGTCCTTCACAAGGTGGTGACTCGATATCTCCGACGCGATAACCTTCTGATATCCAGTATTAAGCGTTTAGCCACACTAGCAAAGATCGGGAGAGAAGCACTGATGAACTGTGACGTCGATGAATTAGGAGAAATAATGATGGAGACATGGCGGTTGCATCAAGAGCTAGATCCTTTCTGTAGCAATGAGTTTGTTGATAAGCTGTTTGCATTTGCAGACCCCTATTGTTGTGGGTACAAACTGGTGGGTGCTGGTGGCGGGGGGTTCGCTTTATTATTGGCTAAAAGTTCAGTATTAGCCATGGAATTGAGAAACAAGCTTGAAGATGATAAGAACTTCGATGTTAAAGTCTACAATTGGAGCATATCTTTATAGAGGTTTTGAATTCTGCTATTATTTATTTATTTATTCTCATCCATATTCATATTAAACATGTTTGTGAAATAAAGTGAAGAACATATTGTTGCTTGATTGGATTTAAACCCCTAAGGAAGAATTTGTAGTTTGTTTCGGATTTAAATTTTCAACACGTTAATAGTTTCTTCATTCTTGCGTATTATACTTCGACCGACAGCTTGTGACCGCACAACTCTACCTCGACCGACAGCCTGCAAGCATATGAAAGGGGGAAGAGATGAGTATAACTGTGTTTGGTAATGCATGCAATTAGAATTTCATATAAATAAACAATATTTTTAATTTTAATTTTATTACATCACTTTTAATTATTTTAATTTTCATTCATTAATATGAATAATATGACTTAAATTTTAGGTTTTTAAATTTATTTAACTATAATCTTAATAATTATTCTCAATTTTAATAAAGTTATATAAATGTTTTAATGGTAAATAATTAGTACAATAATCAAATTAAAGAATTATTTATATATGTTATATTTTACAATCAAATACGATGCATAGTGGATTACATTATTTTAAATAAGATAATAAAATGGTAAAAAAATAATTCAAAACATCATTTATAATAATATGTATAAAATAAATATTATAATAAAATATTTAATTAATTGCAATTAGTTCTAGTTTATTATTATTAATTATAAATTTAATTTCAATGGTAATTATGTTTTAAAATTATGATATATTAATAGTGAATGATTTAATTAAAAAAAATCATTAAGTAATTAGTTATTATAAAATCAAAATTTCAATTTTACTAATACTAATTAGCTAATTAATTACCCTAAAGATATTGTTGGTTGATTAATCATTTTAGTAAACAATTAATTTCATTATTTAAGAAAATTCTATTTATAAAAATTAATTAAATTTCATCAATACTGACTTTTCAAAAACAATTTTATCATTAAGTTTCATTATTATTAGCAACCTTTTCACAATATTTAAAAAATATTCTTACAAGGAAAAGTTTCTTTCCATAATAAATAAATAAAAAAAAAAATTGTTTTTCTGGTTACGGATAGTTGACCGTTCATTATAAGCAAATATGTAGATATTTGTCTTACATTACAGGTTACCATATTTGCCCTTTTATTAAATATAAATATATTATATTCATTTATTATTCTTTCTTTTATCGTTATTTCCATATTATTTGTAATTTACCATATTTCTATTTCGTAAATTATTAAAAATAAGAGAACTCTCATCACCATTTAGGTGTGGTGGATTCAGCAAACATTTAGGTATCATAGTCGTTTCAGTTTAACAACCCTGATTCTTTCTTCTCTATGGCTTCCGAATCTTCTTATCATCTTCTTCCTTTCAATACTATAATCCATATGATCACCATCAAACTTTCTTCCTCCAATTATCTTCTCTGGAAAAGTCAACTTCTCCCTCTCCTTGAGAGTCAAGACATGCTGGGCTATGTTGATGGAACTATGGTTCCACCACCTCGTTTTGAACCAAAAACCTCCTCAACACTCAACCCCAAATATTTGGCATGGAGAGCAGCCGATCAACGACTTCTCTGTCTCCTGCTCTCCTCTCTCACTGAGGAAGCCATGGCTGTTGTCGTTGGTCTCTCTACTGCACGTGATGTTTGGCTTGCGTTGGAAACTACGTTCAGCCATTAGTCAAAAGCTCGTGAACTGAGACTCAAGGATGACTTGCAATTGATGAAACGTGGCACCAAACCTGTTGCTGAGTATGCCCGTGCCTTCAAAAAAATTTGTGACCAACTTCATGCCATTGGCAGACCTGTCGAGGACATTGATAAAGTGCACTAGTTCCTTCGTGGACTCGACACCGAATTTTCAGCTTTTTCTATTGCTCAGATGGCTCTCACCCCTATCCCCTGTTTTGCAGATTTAGTCTCTAAAGCTGAAAGTTTTGAGTTGTTCCAGTGCTCCCTTGAGTCCTCTGATTCCACTCCTACAGCATTCACAGCCACTAATCGTGGTCGCACCCATGAAAGCCACCTTGCTTCCTTTACCAACCAGCGAGATCATTTTTATTCTCACAAAAACAACTCTTCTAATCGAGCACGAACCCACTCAAGTCAGGGTCGTTGACCATCTCACTGCCAAATATGCCGCAAAGAGGGCCATTATGCTGACCGCTGCAACCAACGGTATGTTCGACCTGATTCTTCTCATGCTCACCTTGCTAAAGCCTTTAACACTGGAGCTTCGGCCCATATGACTGCCGACCCATCTATTCTAGATCAGTCTAAAAATTATACGGGTAAGGACTCTGTGATCGTAGGAAACGGTGCATCTCAACCCATTACCCACACCGGTACTCTTTCTCATGTTCCAAATATTCACTTATTAGATGTCTTGGTTGTCCCTCACCTCACTAAAAATCTTCTTTCCATAAGTAAATTAACGTCTGATTTTCCTCTCTCCGTTACATTTACTAATAATCTTATTACTATCTAGAATCATCAAACAGGAAGGGTGGTGGCAACCGGTAAAAGAGATGGAGGGCTATATGTGCTGGAGCGCGGCAACTCTGCTTTTATTTCAGCCCTTAGAAACAAATCTTTACGTGCTTCATATGATTTATGGCATGCTCGTCTGGGCCATATGAATCATTTTGTTATTTCTTTTTTAAATAGAAAAGATCATCTTTCTCTTACGTCTTTATTGCCTTCTCCATTATTATGTAATACTTGTCAGCTTGCGAAAAGTCATCGATTGCCTTATTCCCGCAATGAGCGTAGGTCGTCTCATATGTTAGATCTTATTCATTGTGATCTTTGGGGTCCTCCCGTCAAATCAAATTCGGGTTTTCTTTATTATGCTATTTTTATTGATGATTATTCTCGATTCACTTGGTTTTACCCTTTAAAATTTAAATCTGATTTTTTTTGATATTTTTTTTCAATTTAAAAAATTTGTGAAAAATCAATATTCTTCTCGTATCAAGGTATTTCAAAGCGAGGGTGGTACCGAATTTACTAGTACTTGTTTCAAAACTCATTTACGTAATTCTAGCATCCACCGTCAACTCTCTTGTCCATATACATCTGCTCAAAATGGTCGTGATGAGAG